TCATACTTTTTTTTTCTATTTTTTTTTTATTTATTTCTAGAGAGAGAGAGTGAGCAGGGGAGGGTCAGAGAGAGAGGGAGTCACAGACTGAAACAGGCTCCAGGCTCTGAGCTGGCAGTCAGCACAGAGCCCGACGCGGGGCTCGAACCCATGAACCATGAGATCATGACCTAAGCGAAAGTCAGACGCTTAACTGACTAAGCCACCCAGGCGCCCCCAAAATTTTTTTTAAAATAATTTTTAACATTTATTCATTTTTGAGAGACAAAGACAGAGAACAAGCAGAGAGAATGGGAGACACAGGATCCAAAGCAGGTTCCAGGCTGAGCTGTCAGCATAGAGCCGGTTGCGGGGCTCAAACCCACAAACCACGAGATCATGACTTGAGCCAAAGTTGGATGGTCAACTGACTGACCCACCCAGGTGCCCCTTAAATTATGTACTTTTAAATGAGATTCTGCTAAGTGGCCTTCTAAAACCATCTTGCTAATTTACCAGGTTTCAAGAATGCCTGCCAAAACTTTAAAGTGTAGCTAATATTACATGAATGAAATTACTGAATGAACATATTACATGAATGAATTATTTCCCTAATTCTTGCTAAGTTGGAATACTTTCATGTTTATTGGCCAGTTGTATTTCTTCAGATTACCTGTTCCTATGTTTTGCCCATAATTTTTCCTTCTGGCTTATCATGGTTAAGTGCTCTTCAAATGTAAAGGTTAAATATTTTCTAGTACATCACTCATCATTTAACCTAATAGCTTTTGACCTATGCTTTTTTTTAAAGATTTTAAGTAATCTCTATACCCAATTTGGGGATCAAACTTACAACCCTGAGATCAAGAGTTGCATGCTCTACCAATTGAGCCAGCCAGATGCTCCAACCTGTAAATCTTTATTGTCAGATTTGTTAACTTTTCCTTTGTTACCTTTTAGATTTTACATCATGCTTAGAAGGATTTCCCCATAACATTTGGTAAGAATTTGATTAATGAATTGTTTTAATGAGTGGGCCAGGAACCACCAGCATCAGAATCACCAAAACTACACTACCCACTATAACCATATGGGGTTAAATTCACTAAAACTAAATAAAAAAAAATCAGTTTGTCAGTCACACTAGCCACATTTCAGATTATCAGTAACTATGTGGCTAGTAGCTACTCCATCACACTAAATATAGAAGTCTCACATAACAGGGGCGCCCGGGTGGCGTAGTTGGTTAAGCGTCCGACTTTCGCTTGGGTCATGATCTCGCAGTTCGTGGGTTCGAGCCCCGCATCGGGCTCTGTGCTGACTGCCAGCTCAGAGCCTGGAGCCTGTTTCAGAGTCTGTGACTCCCTCTCTCTCTGACCCTCCCCTGCTCACGCTGTCTCTCTCTCTCTCCTAGAAATAAATAAAACATAAAAAAAAAAAAAAAAAGAAGTCTCACATAACAGGGCTGATATACCTGCAGCATAAACTGATTCAGAATCTGCATTTTATTTTTTAAATGTTTATTTTTTATTGAGAGAGCATAAGGAGAGGAGGTGCAGAGGGGGATAAAGGATCCAAAGTGGGCTCTGTGCTGACAGCAGTGAGCCCGATGTGGGACCCGAACTCATTAACCATGAGATCATGACCTGAGCCACAGTCGGATGCTCAACCGGGTGAGCCACTCCATCTCAACAGCCAGTGTTAGATCTACAAATGCAGATTCTGGGGGCACCTGGGTCGCTCAGTTGGTTAAGTGCCTGACTTTGGCTCAGGTCATGATCTCAGTTCATGAGTTTTGAGTCCTGTACTGGGCTCTATGCTGACAGCTTGAAGCCTGCTTCAGATTCTCTCTCTCTCTGCCCTCCCCCACTCTCTCTCTCTCACACACACACACACCTACCTCTCTCAAAAAAACAGTATTTTAAGAATTGAAAACAGTGGTTGTCAAATTTTGGCACAGGTCACCTAGATAACTTAAGATGACTGGCCTCTATCCTGTTTCTGACTCAGAGGCCCAGAATTAACTTTTCTAAAAAGTTCTTAGGGAACACTCATGCTAAGTCCAGGGATCCCAGTTCAAAAATCACAGATCTCAAGTGTCAGCTAAAGTGCAAATTCCTGGCCCCGACGTGGACCTACTAAAGCCTATCTAGCATTAGGACCTAGGAATCCATATTATCACAAAGCCCCATGATTTTGGTATGTTGAGAACCACTGGGTTCAAGATGAACCACAGAGAAATAGAAGGATTGAACTCAATTGAGTGGTGAGGCTTATTAATAGTGAGAACAAAGACCAATGCTTAAGGGACAAGGCAGTTACACTTGTAGTGGAAGCAGCTTTGGAATTCTCTCACTCCTGAACTTGTGATCATTACTCCATACAGCCAGGAAAACAGGTTGCTAGATAGGAGTATGGAAGTGAAGGTCAGTGGATATAGGCTAAAATATTTAGGCTACATTTATGAACAGGTTCTTCACATAAACAATTTAGACAAAACAATAAAACTCTGAGTGACAGGATTTGGTTTTCACTTTAGAAAAGACTGCTGAGGGGAGCCAGTCTGGCTCACTTGGCCTGAGCATCTGACTTTGGCTCAGGTTATGATCTCAGTTCATGGGTGGAAGCCCCTGAGACTCTGTACTGAGAGCTCAGAGCCCAGAGTCTGGTTCAGATTGTGTCTCCCTCTCTCTCTGCCCCTCCCTTGCTCATGCTTGACCTGCAGGCGCAAACCCTGCATTCGGCTTCACGTTGAGCATGGAGCCTACTTAGGATTCTCTCCCTCCCTCCTCTACCCCGCTCCCTGACTTGCACTCTCTGAAAATAATGGAAGAAAAAAAAAAAAAAAGGAGGGACACCTGGGTGGCTCAAGTTGGTTAAGTGTCTGACCCAGCTCTGGTCATGATCTCATGGTTCTTGGATTTGAGCCCCATGTCGGACTCTGAGCTGACAGCTTGGAGCTTGTTTCATACGGTGTCTCCCTCTCTGTTCCTCCCCAACTCACACTCTTTTATCTCAAAAATGAATAAAAGATTAAAAAAAAAAGGAAAAAGGAAAACTTCTCACCAAACATTAGAAATTAAAACTAGCCCAAACTAAATTGGTAGATAAAAACTTCATGCAATTAAGCAATTACTTTTCTTCCCTTCCTGGGAGGTTTAGAAAGTTGAGGGGTGCCTGGGTGGCTAAGTCGGTTAAGTGTCCGACTTTGGCTCAGGTCATGGCCTCAAGGTTCAGGAGTTCGAGCCCCACATCAGGCTCTGTGCTGAGAGCTGAGAGCCTGGAGCTTGCCTCAGGTTCTGGATTCTGTGTCTCCCTCTCTCTGCCCCTCCCCTGCTCGTGCTGCCTCTCTCTCAAAAATCAGTGGATAAAAAACAATTTTGTTTTTTAGAAAGCTGAATATAAGCACGTTTATCACATGTCAAAATGGACGAACTTTGGGAACAGATGCCATTCAAAAACTTACTCAAGTGATCCTCTCCCCAGTAATTCTCTTTAAAGCAATACTAACTACAATTCAGGTTTCAGATAACAAATTATTTCTCAATTTTTGATCTACTGATTGACCTTTCAGCAAGAAACCACTGGAGTTAGAAGGACCAGATGCCATCCATAAGGCTTGGTACCTGATTGAGCAATAAGGATTAACGAAACACTGGAACAGGTTCAGGTGTTTGAACACTAAATAAATTTAATTAAATTTAGAAATTCTTAGGAGACAGGAAACCCATCAAGCTACCATCTTTTCTTTTTTTTTTTAATGTTTTATTTCTGAGAGACAGAGACAGCGTGAGCAGAGGAAGAAGGTCAGAGAGAGAGGGAGATAACAGAATCTGAAGCCGACTCCAGGCTCTGAGCTAGCTGTCAGCACAGAGCCCGACGTGGGGCCTGAACCCACGAGCCGTGGGATCATGACCTGAGCTGAAGTCGGACGCCCAGCCGACTGAGCCACTCAGGTGCCCCTATACTTTCTTATTTCTAAAGCTCAGATAATAAAACCACCAGAACCCTTAATGAATCTAAAAACTGACAGACAAAATTAGTGTTGCAAGAGAACTACACTAAAACTAGAAGGGTTTAACCAAAAAAAAAAAAAAAAAAAAAATTTTTTTCCCCCTGAAGCTAAGAAATACACTCCTGGGGCACTTGGGTGGCTTAGTCGGTTAAGCGTCTGACTTTCGCTTAGGTCATGATCTCGCGGTTCGTGGGTTCAGGCCCCGCGTCGGGCTCTGTGCTGACTGCCAGCTGAGAACCTGGAGCCTGTTTCAGTCTGTGACTCCCTCTCTCTCTGACCCTCCCCTGCTGACGCGGTCTCTCTCTCCTAGAAATAAAAACATTTAAAAAAAAATTTTTTTTAAATAAATACACTCTACTTACCAATCATACTAATACCTTTGGCATACTCCAGACAAAGGAGACCAAGTTTAAAACAATTTAAAAGGACCAGAGGCTAGTTGGCTCAGTCCATTAAGCATTTGACTCAGTCTCAGGGCTGTGAGTTCAAGTCTCATGTTGGGCTCCACACTGGGCATAGAGTCTACTTAAAAATAATAAAAACTGCATTCCCTTAACAGGACCAGAACCCATGTTATATACCTCTGTAACATAAAACAGTTGAATTTCAAGTGTTCTGCCCAGGGCTCCTGGGAAGTAGGAAGATTTTCTAGCTGTAACATTTCAAGAAAATGGTTTTGACTATCACTCTGAAGTCATATGAGGGGAAGGAAAAAAATGTTGTTTTCCCTTCTTAATCACTATAATGTCCCATGCAAACCTATTATGGCACATTTCTTCCCCTTTATCAAGTTTTTGTTTAGTGTTTGTGCTCCTGGCTAGCCTGACTCCTTGAGCACAGCAAGTTCTTGAAGGATTATCTTTGTATCCCCAACACTTAATACTGCCTTTAACAGAGGTCCTTAACGTAAGACATAGAGTATTGAAATAGGAAGCATTTCTATGCTATGACAAATACACAGAAATTAGAGGGAATAAAAACTGCAAAAATGCAGAAGCTCAAAGACTTACAGGAGGACAACACATTTAGTTTTATTTCAATCAAATCACAACACTTTCTTTTCCAACTGCTGCAAAGTGCATCTACAATTTGCTATTACAGATCCACTTTTTAAAAAGGTTTCCTGCAACATTACAGCAAGCCTCTTTATTTCCAAACAGAGGAATATTCTCAAATTCTTCCTCAAGTAAAAATAAAAACTCCATTCCAGTAAATGGTAATACATGAAATTACAGTAAACCAGACACTTAAAAGGACAGCCAAAAAGTCTTCCAACAGTTTATTAGAAAGAATGTAGACATTAAAAAAAAATCCCCACTGTCATGAACATAAATTGAGGTTTTCAGCCTGGGACAAGCTGAATCAAAAAAAGAAATAAAAAATCCAATAGTGTATTGACATTTTTTTTCCACTCATTTGCCATACTGACAGTGCAAATACAATTTGGTCTAAATGTACAGACTCTCAAGCAACAATGTACAGCCTTTCTTCGTCCTCCATGCTAAGAGATGTAAAAGTTTAAGGGTCAAACAATACCAAATGTACAGGCTTCAAAACCATCTAAGTTAGGGCATTCACTAGTTTTAGCTAAGATACATCTGGAACACTGATGAGTGATCACTTACAATAATGTGAAGTAAATTTTTTGAAAAATAAAACTTTAGTGGAATAATCCTGGAGGATATACCAGAAGAACAAGTTACCAGTTTAAGGGTATCAACCAATTTGTTTCATCAGCCACTTTTGAGTCCATGTTCTAAAATCTAAAATTTAGTTCTTTCTTCTAAGCCAAGAGCTTCTTATCATGTCAGTATCTATGTTATGAAGTAAAGGAGACTGAGGTGAAATGTTTTTATCACAACTGCTGTATCAATTGCCTAGGACCTCAACAGCATCATGGAAGTCTGGGAAAAGTTCATGCATAAGGTTATTGCCTTAGCTGACTTAAAAAATTGCCCCATACAATGGTACATATCAACCCTTAGTGAAGCCTTTAAAAAAACAAACAGGTTGAAAAATGGGTTAAAGGAGGCAAATACAGCATCTGCCTTTAGAGCTATCAACTCAGGAATTCTCTCAATTATGAAATCTTGCAGAGAAGTTATTTTTCTTTCTCAAAATCCGGTGATGACAACATTCCTTACTCCAGATCTGGCATTTCTGAAAGATTTTAAAAAGATTAGTATGAAGTACAAGGGAACAATCAACTTCAAAGTCTTATTTTTAAAAAAATAAATAAAGGCAGTCAACAATAGAGTTAATAGTTTCCTAGGGAACTGTCTTTATTATTTTTTGTCTTTTTTAAATGTAAATCTCAAATCATTCAAAATTTCTGCTTTGGCTATTTTATTATAGGCCATAAAGAAATAATTTCTTCTCTCAGGAATTATAAAGAAGTTAATGTCTATTTTCAGAGTTTGGTCTTTGATGTGAAATATCACTATAAAACATACTTTTTACAAAGATACTTACTTTCATCATCACTGTCTTGCGAATCCTGCAGAAGAAGAATTTTAAAAGTTACCGGCTTGATCAAACATTTCTCTGCTAACTGAACAGTTTGCCTTAAAAAGCTGAAGCACTGTACTTTTACTAAAGTAGCAAAGATTAAGTGGTTATATCAAGCTTGTGAATTTAGTCACTGGACTTAACAGGTTTACTTAAGATGAACAGACGTACAGCTGAGGATCTATCTTCCTGTAAGATGTGTGCCTTTTGGTGGGAATTGGTGCTCAACCTTTAAATTCCTTCCTATTGTCTAGACTAAATCTTAGTATAAAATGGGTTTCACTTCTCTCTTGGCATTCAGTGTAACAGGAAAATGGGTCACTGCAAAGACCAGTGGACTGATAGAAGACAATGAACTCCAACCCTACCTTTTGAATGGTCTAAATATTTTTCAGACTACACCCAACAACCTTCTTGAAGATGTTAGCAGGATGCCAGAGCGGGGAATGTTGAGAAGAGTGATCCAGTTTATCCTTCTTATAGATTCACAGTGTCTATTTCCTCTAGTTTTTGACCAATCCTGCTGCAAAACCTGTTTAACTCTGTCAAAATAATCCCTAAACTGATTCCTAACTGAATAAAGCATACGATGCAATGATTCTCTTGAAGTGTGGTCCCTTAAGAATGGCCCATGGGACACCAGTTTCCTAATAAGTAACTATCCTTCAAAAATGAGCACATTTTAAAATCTGCTTTCCCCTAGATTTCTTAGGGAAAAAAAAAACAACAAGAAGTGGCAAAAAAGCAATCCTAAATCTATATAAAACAACCTATAAATACATTGTTTCTTACTATTTAAGTAAACAGAGAAAAGAATTTATAGACTTACATCATCTGCTCCATCTACTTCTGGTAAATCTACATCCTCATCACCACCCATGTTGTTCATCATCTATTTGAAGTGTAAAAATTAGTTTTAAAAATGATGTTAAATTAAGCCCTAATTATTAGGTTGCAAACTCCAGAATAAACCTTAAGTCTGTCATAGATTTCCACCAATAAAAAAAAGCAAAATAAATGTTAAGTACCTTCCTGTCTGGATAAGGTAGATTAGATTATAAAATCCTGACAACCTGTAGGGAAGTTAAGACTAAGTTCTCACTGAAGAAAAGTGAAGTTATTGAAACGTATCCAGCAAGATACTTATATATGATATAGAATTTAAACACCGAAATCCTAAATAGTGCTTACCTCTGGTGCCTAAGGAAAAGAATGGGATTCATTTGTAGTTGTAAAGCTTTGTATCTTAAGCAAAGTGACATGTGTAATATAGTATTCTCACTACAGTTTTAAATATTGTGAAGAACCAATAAATGATTTAAAATAAAGTCCTTCAGGATGATATGGTTGTATAAAAGACCTAACACCAGGGGCGCCTGGGTGGCTTAGTCGGTTAAGCGTCCGACTTTCACTTAGGTCATGATCTCGCAGTTCGTGGGTTCGAGCCCCGCTTCGGGCTCTGTGCTGACTGCCTGCTCAGAGCCTGGAGCCTGTTTCAGTCTGTGACTCCCTCTCTCTCTGACCCTCCCCTGCTCACGCTGTCTCTCTCTCTCTTAGAAATAAAACATTAAAAAAAAAAATTTAAAAAGACCTAACACTGAATCAAAGACCAAACAGCAATAAATATTAAAAACAGAAAATAAAACATGATTCTTGAAATAAAAGGTATATACTATGAAAAAAATACACTTGTATATATGGTAAATACTCTTGTATATTTACAAAACATTGGGACTAATAACAGAGCATACTTACATGAAGTACTAATTTCCTATTTTTAGTTGTTTCGGATCATAAAGTAAGCAGCATATTATTTAAAGAGATACCTATAACCCAAAACTAAACTATTAATAGATAGGGAGGGACTTATCTTCCCACTCTACAACTTTTCTATAAATTTCCTAAAATTAAAAAATTCAAATAACCATATACAACTTTATACACAAAAATTTGAAACTTCTAAAATCTACGCTTACCTGCACTTTACAGTTAAAAGGGGCCTTTAAAAGATCCCCAATCACCAAATTGCTCAGTATAAAGTTTTGGGCAATCTAGTTTTGAATAATATGAATAACTAGTAAAGAGTTTCCCTACCTCTGACAGCACTGTTGAACACTTTGGTTAAGTTTCTTTGAGCAGGAAAAGTGCTCAAAATGTGCCAAGCACAACACTAGGTGTTGATGATACACTGGCAATAGAAATAGAATGAACTGAATAGATTCATGAGCTATTTGGGAAGTTTAAAAAAAAAAAAAAAGATGGCTGTTAACGTTATACTGGATAGAGACAGTAAAAGAACACAGTGTTAAGCTGTGACATGAACACGTGGGTAAAATGGCAGCACCAATTACTACAGGTAAGGAATAGGAATAGCACAGCTGAAAAGAATTGCCCTATCTTCTTTTTCCATTATTTAACTTGAAATCAAGGTGCCAGAACCATGTGAGATGTTGAGTAAGTAGCTGCAAACATAACACTAGATATTATACTTCCATTTTAAGCTCTTAGTTTTCAAAGAAATAGAAACAAAATCTAGTCACTTAAAACCTCAAATTGCCATGAGAAAGAATTTCATCTTCAACTTACAACCTAACGTTATTTTTCTAATCAGCTTTAGTGCAATACCATTTATTTCATAAGGTTTGTTCTGTCCAAAGGGAAATCAATGATTTTACCCCTTTGGCCATTGGCAGTATGTATTTAAATTATTTCCTTGATTTTGCTAACTGAAACATCTTTACGTACCACTCATCATGCACATCTCAAAAGGTTTATATTCTTATATAGCTCTAAAACCAATCCATCCTCCAAAAAAATCAGTTTCAATGCTGGAATAGAAACTAGCTATATTGTGTGGATTGTACAGTTTATTTTCTGTCTTTATACATCAACTTTAGAAATTACCACTAATTTTTAAAAAAACTATAAAAGAATATTAAACTTCAGGAATAAATGCCCACTATTAAGATCTTAGTTGGTTTTGCTACAGAATGACCTTCAAAGTAAAATAATGCAGCTCTTAAATACCACTAGGTGCTTTAAAACCAAATTAAATTCACATACAAATGTACAGAGAGGGAGATGGAAAAATCCATTTATAAGAACTTACCTCAGAGAAACGATCAAAATTAGACATGTCTTCATCTGAATCATCCTCCCAGTCTTTCCAATTATTGAAGTCCACACTAAGCCAGTTAAGCTACAGAGCAATACAAACGTCACCCTATGATTAGGTTAATTTATACTTATCAAGTCCAATGTAGTCAATAGCAAAGATAGTTTCACAAAGCTGCATTCACAGCTGTTCAACAATTCTCTTTTTTAGAAACAAAAACAAAACTCATTGGTAGAAACTATTCTCAGGTACAATGGACTTTTTTTTGTAGCATCAAATATGCTCCTGTGTGATATGTAACTTATAAAGGCTTAGAGTCTAAGCAAAACCTGCCTCTTGAATTCAGCAAAAGTTCTGCCCAACTAGTGACCTCCTAACCATACTCGGTTTTAAGTTAAAACTGATAAAACCTAAGGAAAAAAACTTGTAAGAACACAATACTTTAGTACCACTTAACTATGAAACAAAAACATTATATTCCTCATGGAAAACAAATGTGTCTTTTATTACTTAAAAATGTTACCCCCCCCGGCCCCCCCAAGAAACATACCTTTGCCCTTTCTTTTGTTAACCTTGGCCATGACTGGCCAGATTCACCTTTTCGTAAACAACATAAAATTGATCGGTCCGTTCTTTTATGCTTGGAATCCTAAAAACAAAAACAAAAAGGTATTATCACACCATTTCTCTCTCCAGTATCGCTGAAGAATAAAAGTAGCTGGTCATTCCTCAACTCTTTTTAATTTCTTTCCCTACATTTTTTTTAAACTCAAAGAAACATCCCCTAGCTTACTAAACATTTCATTAGCTATCCAAATTGCAAACAACTTTTCCCTCCCTGCACAAGGTGAATAAAGCCATAAAAAATTTCAACTAAAAATTGACTAAATATGGTACAATTATAGAATAGTTTAAAAATTAAGATTAGATTAAGACAAGTATAAAGGACAGTGTAGCAAGAACAAAAGGAGCCTGCAGAAAAGTAGTTCAAAGGGGAAAATATTGTGAAAATATAAATATGCCTAGTTAGCCTCTGAACTGTTAAGAAACAATTACTGGTTATTTCTAAAAAGAGTACTTGATGTATGTCCATTCCCTCACAATTTAAACTGGAATTAAAGCATTAAGATTACTTACATTTGGATCAATACAGTGAAAAAGATCAATTTCATTTAAATGTTTAAAATTATCACTTCCTCCAAGACAACTGTGTAAAAAAAAAAAAAGGAAAAAATGAACCTCTTCAAAGAGGTGAAGATTAGTAATAACTTCAGTGAAAACAAGCAAGCCAAAGTTATTCAGTTGTCCGAGATAAGCTTCTTACCCAATGATGTAAAATGGTAATTTACCTGAATGTAAGTTTGGATTTTTCAAAATTTACATTAACATCTTTACTGTCTTCAACACAAAATTCAATGAAGACGTAGTCCCTTCGATCGTACCATTTTGCAGAAGCAGGCTGCCTACAAAGAGATAAAATTAGACAAAGTTAAGTTGGAATTCATTAACTGAGTATTTACATAACCTCCAAATTTTGAGTAACATTCCACTTTTCCATTAAAACAGATTATTTTGAAACAGTTTATTATAATTTCAAAAAGAAACTACATCTTTAGGGGTGCTTGGGTAGCTCAGTTAGTTAAGCATCTGACTTTGGCTCAGGTAATGATCTGATCTCATGGTTCCTAAGCTCGAGCCCAGAATCATAAGACTGCACTGACAGCATGGAGCTGCCTGGGATTCCTTTTCCCTCTCTGGCCCTCTCCCACTTGTACAAGGGCTCATGCTCTCTCTCAAAACAAACTTTAAAAAAACTTGTATCTTAAAAAAAAATTAATTAATTTAAAAACTTGTATCTTTATTCTTAACAACTGCATTCCAAATCAAAACACAATTAACGGATTTCACAATATGAAGGAATTAAAAAATGAATCAGTGCTCAATAGGGTTAACCATTAGGTAGCCCTGTCAAAATTTATGTGCCACTCCTTTAGAGCCCTGCTACTAAATGTCAAGGTCATAGAATTAAAAAATCAAACAGAAAGGATCCACCTTTTTTTTTTTTTTTATGTTTTTATTTATTTCTAGGAGAGAGAGAGAGAGACAGCGTGAGCAGGGGAGGGTCAGAGAGAGAGGGAGTCACAGACTGAAACAGGCTCCAGCCTCCGAGCTGGCAGTCAGCACAGAGCCCGACGCGGGGCTCGAACCCACAAACCGCGAGATCATGACTTAAGTCATGACTTAAGTCGGACGCTTAACCGACTAAGCCACCCAGGCGCCCCAGAAAGGATCCACCTTTAATTGAAATACTGTATTCAACATTTCTACTTATAATGTTACAATGCCAGGAATTTGAGTGGGGGGATAGGGGATGGGGTAAAATTGATAGTGTTTGTCTCCAGAAAAGTTCTCATCTGTAGCTTATTTCTGACTATATTAAGCAACCATTTTTCTGCCCGACAGATTTTCCTAACCAACTTTTATGATTCTAAATAATGATACTTAAGAATTAAGCTTCTTTACAGCCTCATCGTCTACTCTACCTACACATGTATTTGATATATACTATACTAGAAGAAACCTGGAGTACTTGCCATCTCCTTATTATTCTTCTGTTCCTGTATCCTGTACTATAACTGTCCTCTTCATTGTGTCAGCTGCCTAGAGCTCTATCCATCCATTAAAATTATGTTTTAGGGGCGCCTGGGTGGCTTAGTCGGTTAAGCGTCCGACTTTCACTTAGGTCATGATCTCGCGGTTCGTGGGTTCGAGCCCCGCGTCGGGCTCTGTGCTGACTGCCAGCTCAGAGTCTGGAGCCTGTTTCAGTCTGTGACTCCCTCTCTCTCTGACCCTCCCCTGCTCATGCTGTCTCTCTCTCTCTCCTAGAAATAAATAAAACATCAAAAAAAAAAAATTAAAAAAAATAAAATAAAATTATGTTTTAGAATACAGTTAAAAAACTGCTAGCAGCAAATGCAGTCAAATATAGTTGATTAATAGGAGATAAAGATTTTATGTAGTAAATACTTTTCTTTAATATTGTTCTTTGATGGGGTACTTGGATGGGTGGTTTGGTTGGTTAGGTATCCCAACTCTTTAGTTTTGGCTCAGGTCATGATCTCACCATTCATCCATCTGAACCCCATGTTAGAGTCTGCGTGGACAGTGAGGAGCTTGCTTGGGATTCTCTCTTTCCCCCTCTGCCCTTCCCCTACTCGTGTTCACGGTCTCAAAGTAAATCAAACTTTAAAATGTTAAATAAATATTTTTTTAAATATTTTTATTTCTAGGAGAGAGAGAGAGAGAGAGAGCGTGAGCAGGGGAGGGTCAGAGAGAGAGGGAGACACAGACTCTGAAACAGGCTCCAGGCTCTGAGCTGGCAGTCAGCACAGAGCCCGACGCGGGGCTCAAACCCACAAACTGCGAGATCATGACCTAAGCGAAAGTCGGTTGCTTAACCGACTAAAAAAATAAAAATAAATAATAAAATATTAAATAAATAGAATTTTAAATAGGATGCAACTCTTGATCTTAGGGTTGTAGGGTAGAGATTAAAAATCTTTAAGAAAAAATATTCTTGGGGGGAAAGAGTTGTTCTTTGTAATCTTTAGACAAATATCCTTATAAGCATAAAAATTCCTAGAAGAATTCACACACATGGACCCCACCCAACAATATTTGCCTCTCCAGAAAGAACCAGAAAGACAATGAGGGAAAGGAAGCAGAACATCATTCTCAATGGTTTCACTTATTTTCTAAAAATAAGCATGCTCTGCTCATCTAAAAATTGAAGTATTTGGCTATACCAGAATTCTATTTTTTTGAACTGTTCTATAAACCTAAGATACAAGTTAAAAACTATTAATTAACATTATGTTCAAACACTACTCATAAATCAACTCAAATGAAACGTATTGTTTTCTTCCAAGCCCTGAATTTCCCAACCCTAAGGAGTAGCAGTTTAAAGTCCCTCCTATAAATAAAAAGTTGCAACCAACTGCTCATCAACATTTTACACAACTGTTAAACCTGACTAGTCATGTTCCATTCTGGGATATTGATACCACATCAGAAGTAGGTTATGGTTATTATGAATGGCAGTTTTCAAAGTCTAAATACCAGCAAATCAGCAAGGGTAAAGCTATTTCTTTAGGCATCTACTAATAGATTAAAAACAGGGTTGCCTTGGGGCGCCTGGGTGGCTTAGTCGGTTAAGCGTCCGACTTTCGCTTAGGTCATGATCTCGCGGTTCGTGGGTTCGAGCCCCGCGTCGGGCTCTGTGCTGACTGCCAGCTCAGAGCCTGGAGCCTATTTCACAGTCTGTGTCTCCCTCACTCTCTGACCCTCCCCTGCTCACGCTGTCTCTCTCTCTCTCCTAGAAATAAAAATTAAAAAAAAAAAACAAAAAACCAGGGTTGCCTGGGTGGCTCAGTTGGTTAAGCATCTAGCTTTGGCTCAGGTCATGATCTCGTGGTTCATGGCTCTGTGCTGACAGCTAGCTCAGAGCCTGGAGCCTGCTTCTGATTCTGTGTCTCCCTCTCTCTATGACCCTCCCCTGCTCATGCTGTCTCTCTCTCTCAGAAATAAATAAAACACTAAAAACTGTTTAAAAAAAAAGATTAAAAACAAAAACCAGATTTTTACAGGCCTTGGGAGAAATGTCTAACTATAACCTTCTGTTGGACTAAGGAATCACAACTTTTAATATTATGTTAATATGGCTAACAAATTAAAAGTTTTATTAATAGTGACAATAGACCACACATTAGCTTTAGCTCATTTTCTTGCCAAAACAGTGTTCTCAACATGTGGTAACATTTAAAAAAAAATATGTTTATATTGGGGCACGTGGGTGGTTGGTTGAGCATCCGACTTCGGCTCAGGTCATGATCTCATGGTTAGTGAGTTCAAGCCCCGCGTAGGGCTCTATGTTGACAGCTCAGAGTCTGGAGCCTGCTTCTGATTGTGTCTCCTCTCTCTGCCCCTCCCCTGCTCATGCTCTTTCTCTCACAAAAGTAAAATAAACATTAAAATTTAAAAAAAATATATATATATACACACATATGTATTTATATCGACTGTGAGCAGGGGAGGTGGGGGGGGCAGACAGAGGATCTGAAGCAGGCTCTGGGAGGACAGCAGAGAGTTGATGTGGGGCTCCAACTCATGAACCATGAGATCATGACACAAGAGCTAAAGTCAGACAATCAACTAACTGAGCCATCCAGGTGCCCCAACATGCTGTCTTTAACTGAAAATATTTGCTAACTTATACATAAAATGATTAGGATCACAGATTTTATTAAATAATCTCTACACCCAACATGGGGCTGAAATTTATAACCCGAGATCAAGAGTTGCACACTCTACCAACTGAGCCAGCCAGGAACCCCTAAATTCACAGATTTTCAAACTGAAGCGACCCATCTGGTCAGTACGTTTAAAAAGTGCTAATGAAAACCATCATCCGGAGCAATGAACACCACAGTGCCAAAACACGATTTCAAACAAAAGTAAACAAATTTCCTATACAGAAATGACTGACCTCAGGTGTAAGGTGGGATGAGGCTGGGACATTTTGTGCAAATGAAACTATTAAAAACTATGAGGTCAGTTATGGGGCACCTGGGTGGTTCCATCAGTTGAGCATCAACTCTTGATTTTGGCTCAGGTCATGACCTTGTACTTCCTGGGATCAAGCCCTGAATCAAGCTGACAGCATGGAGCCTGTTTGCGTTTCTCTCTATGCCCCTCCACACCACTCAGTTTCGTGCTCTCTCAAACTTTAAAAAAAAAAAAAAAAAAAAAAAGGGCAAAACAAAACTATGAGGACAGTCAGAACCAGTGGCAAGAAGGGTCTCCCTGCATTGGCCAACAATTCTAGACCACCAGAAGATGCTATGGATACAACTCTCTACAAATTGGCTGTTAAAGTTAAAAAGAATTAGGCATTTTTTGTTCTTTCTCTTTATGAAACTTTTCAGTTATTCACGGTAACTGGACAGAAAGATCAGTTCACGGAAGAAAACTACTTTACAGAAATTCATCTTTGGGGTGAAATAAAACTGCAAGGAGGGACACGCATGTCACCATTTTGCAACCTTTAAACTGATCTGGTGGTGATCATCAATGGATGAAACCATTAAAATGATTAGATTAGGGATGCCTGAGTGGTTCAGTTGGTTGAGTGTCTTCAGTCCAGGTCATGGTCTCAAGGTGAGTGGGAGCTCCTTGCAGGCTCTGTGCTGACAGCTCAGAGCCTGGAACATGCTTTGGATTCTGTGCCTCCCTCACTCTGCCCCTCCCCCACTCACACTCTGTCTCAAAAAGAAAAACATTGAAAAAAATTTTTTTAAAGATTAGAGTGATAATAAAGAATTTATGATCAATAGTTAATACTTCGTAATTAATAGTAAAGAATTTAACATCACTAAAAGTGGGACAACCAGACCTATAACCTCTT